CATCAATTGTTGTGGCGCCTAATCATTTTGAAAAATCAAGCTAGTTTCTGTGTCGGCTGTCACGTTACATATAATTGTTTTATGTTTAATCTTGCCTTCGTGCTGCATTTTGTTGCTCATCTCTATAGAAAATGAAAACTGAAAGGATCGAAAGCGATGCATGTTTGGCATGCGTTGGAATTAACGTAAGACTGATGTTTTCTCCGAAGCTGTGCCTCAACTGGCTGAACTCCCAGCTGCATTGTGTCATACTTGCAATGAGAAGCAAGCGTGTGGGAGCCTCTGATTGAGCCAGTACTGCGAGCGTGAGAGCGTTTACGACCAATACGAGTTGCTCGTAAAAGGCTACTAGTACAGCTGACTGCACATGTGTGTACACATCACCAAACTGTGGAGGAGAGACATTTAATTTTAACGGATTGCCCAAGATGTTATCCCCCGCATCCCCATTACCAGACTTATAATAAAAACCTGCGGCCACTGAAATTTCTTTCACACGGCGGAAACTTCAGTAACGCCATTCGCACATTGTTGAATCTCCTGGCTTACTGCTGCCTTATTATCTCCGCTATTATCTTCTTTATTATTTATTCATTGTTATCTTGCCTTCATATTGATCTTCCTTCTTATTATTATCTTCCTTATTATCTAATTATTATCTCCTGATTACTTTTTTATTATCGTCTTATTGCCCCTTCTATCTTCTTATCTCCTTTAATTCTCCTTCCTTCTATCTTCTTATACTCTTATTTCCTTCTTCCTTATCTTCTTATTTCCTTATTTCCTCGCTTCTTATCTTCTACTCATCCTCTTGCTCTATCTCATCTCCTTACTTCTTATTCTTCTTATCTCCTTATTTCTCGCTTCCTTCTTATCTTCTCACGTAAGGGGGGGGTGGTCCCTTATAATTTTCCTCCTGTCCTTCCTTATCTTCTTTATTCTCGTATTTTTCTGATCTTTCCTTCCTTCTCCTTATCTTCTTATCTCCTTATTTCCTCCGCTTCTATCTCTTATCTCCTTATGTTTTCCTCCTTTCTTCTTCTCTATTCTTCTTCTTCTCTTACTTTTATCTCCTTATCTTCTTCTTCGCATTCCTCTTCTTCTATCTCTTATCTCCTTATTGTCCTTCTTCTTATCTTCTTATCTCGCCTTATTTCTCCTTCCTTCTTATCTTCTTAGTGCTCCTTATTTTCCTTCTTCCTTATCTCCTTATTTCCTCCTTCCTTCTTATCTTATTGCTTTTCCTATTCTCCTTATTTCATCTCCTTTTCCTCCTTTCTTGATTGCTTATTTCTGCTGTCTATCTCGTTTCTCCTGTATTTCCTCCTTCCTTATCATTCTTATCTCCTTTATTTCTCCGTTTCCTTCTTAATCCTTCTTATCTCCTTATTTCCCTCCTTCCTTCTTATCTTCTTATCTCCTTATTTCGCTCCTTCCTTTCTTATGCTTCTTATCTCCTTATTTCCTCCTTCCTTCTTATCTTCTTATCTCCTTATTTCCTCCTTCCTTATCTTCTTATCTCCTTATTTCCTCCTTCCTTCTTATCTTCTTATCTCCTTATTTCCTCCTTCCTTCTTATCTTGTTATCTCCTTATGTTTCCTCCTTCCTTCTTATCTTCTTATCTCCTTATTTCGCTACCTTCCTTCTTATCTTCTTATCCCTTATTTCGCTCCTTCCGTTCTTATCTTCTTATCTCCTGATTTCCTCCTTCCTTCTATCTCCTTCCTTCTTATGCTTAATCTCCTTATTGTCCTCCTCCTTCTTAGTCTTGTTATCATCCTTATTTAACTCGCTTCATTCTTATCTTGTTAGTCTCCTTATTTCCTCTTCCCATTCTTATCTTCTTCGTCGTCACCGGGGATTCTCCACGCGTGCAGGCGTTCAGGGCGGAGAGGCTACGCGTCGCCACGGCCGGCGCCGAGATGCCGAGCGTCGGCACATGACGAGTTTGACGGCGAGATGAAGAAGACCGCGACAGGTCACGCGAAGTCGATGTCAGACAGCTCGGAGCACGACGAGTCGCCGTCCGAGTCGCGAGCATGACCGTCATCCGCAGGCGCTTCGCCTCGTCGTCCCGTTCCGCAAGCACAGGCTCGGTGTGTATGCGCCTCGCCCTGTTCCTTGCCGTCCGCCGGCGTAGCCTCCCTACACTTCCTTGTTGTTTCCACTTCCCTGATGTCTACTTTGTAACCCCTATACTTCGTTGTTGTCTATGGTCACCTCTCAACACTTCCCTGTTGTTTCCTGTTCCTGCCATCCGTGGTGTAGCCTTTCCTACACTTCCCTGTTGTTTCTCTGTTTCCCTGCGCATCCGTGGTGTAGCCCTTCCTACACTTCCCTGTCTTGCGGGGTCGCCCCCCTACACTTACCTGTCGTCTCTCTGCGATCGCCCCCTACCACCGCCTGTCTTCGCTCACTCCTCAGTCTTCGCACGACGTGATTGGGCTATTTAGTATCGCTGCCCAGCTGTGCGAACAAAAGCATGCTTTGCTCGTGTGAACACTTCATGCGTGTCTACCAATGCCTATCGCCTGGGAGTTAACCCATACAGCCAGACCCTTGTCTCGCTTCATGTGTTCTCCACCATTGATGCAATCCTCAAATTAACATTTTGCTTCGATGTGCGTGTTCAGAGACGAAGGCCAGTTTCGCCGAGCCAACACGTCGGCATCGTCGTCCGCATCGTCGGACGCCGATGGCGGCAACATATTCGAAAAGATCACTTGGCTCGTTGCGTCAACATGTCTCTCGACGTCACAGCAGTGGCGGGCGAGGCGTCGGAGTCGGAGACTGAGGCGCGGCAGCAAGACGCACGGAGGCGTCAGCCTTAGATGACGAGCCCGGGCTGCGAGGCGATCGCATGAGAAAAGCCAGTGGTTTTGAAAGAAGGGAGAGCGAGCATTGAGGAAGGATAGTGTGGGCTGGTTTGTCGCATGCCAGTAGCACTGTACACCGGGGCAAAATTTAATGCATCCGCGACGTCAAATACTTCCTGACTTTACTGTCGATCCCCTGATTTGACATGTGCCAGGAGTCCGTGTGACTCCCTGGAAACTCTGCTATACTACACTAGTTTTTACCTGCAGCGCGGGGGCGCGAGCGTCCGGGCGTGCGCCGCACCGGGGAGCGGGAACACGGACTTACGCGGAATTACGATGGTTTTTTATCTCAGCTTGAACGAAGTCGGATTGCAGTCTTGTTAGAATCGCATGAGACGTCTGTCCGTCCCGTGTGTCCTGCGCGTCGTCATACAGTTGCGGACAAGTCTTAACCGGCAGTCGCCATTTACGGTCTTTTTGATATTCGCGGACGTCGCGGGGGATTGGCCGAAAAGGACTCGGGATGTCGAGATTTGGGGGGTTCAAAGGCAAGGGCAAGATGTGTTCAATGGAGGGGGAATATTTCCGCCCCTTAACTTATGGTATAGGACAGGAAATAAGGAATTGCGCCACAAATCTCAACGGCTTGACCTACGCTCTTAATATTTGATGTATAGTGTGATGGGGAGGAAACCCATCACCAGCGCGAAATTGGAGGTAACAGGTCAAAGGGCAGTGGGGGAAAGGTCAGATATCAGACATTTTCTGAGGACATGGTCTAACGGACTGAGTGAAAAACTTTTTTGTTTCAGTGGTGGCCTACCATTTTTATCACTTTATTGAAAGGACCATGAAATGTGCTTTCGCGCTGACGTGCGAAGAGTAAGTGTCTGATAACCTTTTGACCCTCAAGAGGAGGGGTAAACATGGATTTGTTGACTTAACAAAGGACTGAACTGCTCTTGCTATTAGAGCCCGCTCCACCCGCCCTCCCCCGACCCTCTCCCGACCCTCCCTCTCCTCCTCACGAGGAAATAAGGAGATAAGAAGATAAGAAGGAAGGAGGAAATAAGGAGATAAGAAGATAAGAAGGGAGGAAATAAGGACGATAATAAAAAAGATAATCAGGAAGATAATAATGAGATAATAAGGAAGATAATAAGTAAGAAGGAAGATAATATGAAGGAAGATAACAATAATAAATAATAAAGAAGATAATACGGAGATAATAAGGAGATAAGGCAGGAGATCAGAACAATGTGCGAATGCGTTACGAAAGTTTTCCGCGTTGAAAGAAATTGCGTGCGCGTTTTTATTAAAGTCTGGTAATGGGGAGCGGGGAGTAACTTCTTGGCAATCGTTAAATTAAATGTCTCTGCAACAGTTTGGTGATGTGTACACACATGCAGTCAGCTGTACTAGTACCTTTACGAGCAACTCGTATGGTCGGTAAACGCTCTCACGCTCCAGTACTGGCTCAATCAGAGGCTCCCACACGCCTTGCTTCTCATTGAAGTATGACACAATGAGCTGGAGTTCAGCAGTTGAGCACAGCTTCGGAGAAAAACATCAGTCTTACGTTAATTCCAACCATGCAAACATGATCGCTTTCGATCCTTTCAGTTTCATTTTCTATAGAGATGATGCCAACAAATGCAGCACGAAGCAATTAAACATAAAACAATTATATGTAAGTGACAGCCACACAGAAACTACTTGATTTTTCATGTTCAGGCGCCAACACACAATTGATGCTTCTAAAACTGACATTCGCATTCTATGCCCAACAACGAAACCAATCTTCAAATAACGTTATGCGTACTAATGCAACTCTCTGTTATCTGCGTACCACTACGTTGGTACATGCTCACCTGGCGAGACCAGTCATTGATGACAGCTTCCAATGCACCCTTGGCGCACAGCACAGGAATGTGGCCATTCCAACTCTCCAACTCGATCGCTGCGTTCAGCTGCTTCATCTTAATGTTGCACACCTCCTTGTGCGAGGCATGTCTGTAGACACCCGGTCGCGTGCTCACCTTACTCTCCTCTGTGCAATATAGTAGCGTTTACTTACATATCGAATCCATTCTTCATGTGACATTAAAAATATGCTTACACGATGCTATAATAATTAGTAGTGGCGGCAGCGGCAGCAGGAGCAGCAGCAGTAGTAATAACAATAACAATAATAATAATCATCTTCAAATCGCCTGCATGACATAGCAATCTTCCTTTTTCCAATACAGTGGAATGCGACTGGAGTTTAACAGATTCTCATGAGATACAGATCTTAAACATAATCCTATTTAACTGCTTTCCCGATGTTGAACTGTTCACATATAGTTTCATAATAGCAGTAGATATATGTGGGATAGTCAGCCATACCCATCTCCTTCAGCCACCTTTCACGTGAAGCATCCGACACAGCCCACATGGTAGATTCCTTGTTGCTGTTGAATACTGTGGCTGTCAAAGGTTTGGGTGATGATGGAAATTTCTCCTATAGCACAAAGTACCTCAATTTCAATTGACGCGCACCCAGAGTGTGTATATATACATATATACCAAATATAATTCATATCAAATGAAGATCAAACTCAATTAATTACCAGTAGTATAATAAATAACATAAAATTACTCTTTGTATACCATATTCCAGTCAAAGACTAATAATAATAATAAATAATATAATAATGATAATAATATAAACCTCCAATTTCGCGCTGGTGATGGGTTTCCTCCCCATCACACTATACATCAAATATTAAGAGCGTAGGTCAAGCCGTTGAGATTTGTGGCGCAATTCCTTATTTCTTCCTATACCATAAGTTAAGGGGGAAATATTCCCCCTCCATTGACACATCTTGCCCTTTGACCTTTGACCCCCCAAATTCGACATCCCGAGTCCTTTTGGCCATCCCCCGCGACGTCCCGAATATCAAGACCGTAAATCGAGCGGTTAAGACTTGTGCCCAACTGTTGACGGACGCGCGGACACACGGACGGACAGACGCTCATGCGATTCTACAAGCTGCATCCGACTTCGTCAGCTGAGCTAAAAATACGGTAATTCCGCTAGTCCGTGCTCTGGAATAAACTAGTTAGTATAGCAGAGTTTCCAGGGAGTCACACGGACTCCTGCACATGTCAAATCAGGGAGTCCGACAGTAAGTCAGGAAGTATTTGACTCCGGACTCGCATTAATTTTGCACCCTGTACAGTGCTACTGGCAGCGACATAACCAGCTCCACCTACCTTCCTCAATGCTCGCCTCTCCCTTCTTCAAAAACACTGGCTTTGTCTCATCGATCGCCTCGCCCGCCTCGTCTCTAGGCTGACCCTCCGTCGTCTTGCTGCCCGCCTCAGTCTCCGACTCCGACGCCTCGCCGCCACTGCTGTCGCTCGAGAACATGTGACCGAACGAGCCAATGATCTTTTCGAATATGTTGCCGCCATCGGCGTCCGAGTCGGACGAGTCGCCGTGTTGGCTCGCGAAACTGGCCTTCGTCTCTGAACATGCACATCGAAGCAAAATGTTAATTGACGATCATCATGGGGAAAACAAAATGAAGCGAGACAAGGGTCTACTGTTGGGTTAACTACCAGCGTAGCACATTGGTAGACATGCAAAGTTTCACACGAGCAAAGCATGCTTTTGTTCGCACAGCTGGGCAGCATACTAAATAGCCATCACTGTGCGAAGACTGAGGAGTGCGAAGACAGGGGTGTAGGGGGCGATACAGCAGAAGACAGGGAAGTGTAGGGGGCGACCCCGCAGAAGACAGGGAAGTGTAGGAAGGGCTACACCACGGATGGCAGGGAACAGAGAAACAACAGGGAAGTGTAGGAAAGGCTACACCACGGATGGCAGGGAACAGGAAAACAACAGGGAAGTGTTGAGAGGTGACCATAGACAACAACGAAGTATAGGGGGTTACAAAGTAGACATCAGGGAAGTGGAAACAACAAGGAAGTGTAGGGAGGGCTACGCGGCGGACGGCAAGGAACAGGGCCGAGGGCGCATACACACCGAGCCTGTGCTTGCGGACGGACGACGAGGCGAAGCGCCTGCGGATGACGGTCATCTCCGACTCGGACGGCGACTCGTCGTGCTCCGAGCTGTCTGACATCGACTTCGCGTGACCTGTCGCGGTCTTCTTCATCTCGCCGTCAAACTCGTCATGTGCGACGCTCGGCATCTCGGCGCCGGCCGTGCCGATCGCGTAGCTCTCCGCCCTGAACGCCTGCACGCGTGGGAGAATCCCCGGTGACGACGAAGAAGATAAGAAGGGAAGAGGAAATAAGGAGATAACAAGATAAGAATGAAGGAGGAAATAAGGAGATAACAAGGAAGGAGATAGAAGGAAGGAGGAACATCAGGAGATAAGAAGATAAGAACGGAAGGAGGAAACTAAGGGATAAGAAGATAAGAAGGAAGGTAGGAATAAGGAGATAATGAAGATAAGAAGGAAGGAGGAAACATAAGGAGATAACAGATAGAAGGAAGAGGAAATAAGGAGATAAGAAGATAAGAAGGAAGGAGGAAATAAGGAGATAAGAAGATAAGGAAGGAGGAAATAAGGAGATAAGAAGATAAGAAGGAAGAGGAAATAAGGAGATAGAAGGCATAAGAAAGGAAGGAGGAAATAAGGAGATAACGAACGATAAGCAAGGAAGGAGGGAAACTAAGGAGATAAGAAGGATAAGAAGGAACGGAGGAAATAATGGAGATAAGAATGATAAGGAAGCGAGGAAATACAGGAGATAACGAAGCATAAGACGACAGCGCAGGAAATAACGCGAGATCAAAGATAAGAAGGAAGGAGGAAATAAGGAGATAAGAAGATAAGAAGGAAGGAGGAAATAAGGAGATAAGGAAGAAGGAAATAAGGAGATAAGAAGATAAGAAGGAAGGAGGAAATAAGGAGATAAGAAGATAAGGAAGAAGGACAATAAGGAGATAAGAAGATAGAGAGGGAGGAAATCAAGGAGATAAGAAGATAAAGGAAGAAGGAATAGAGATAGAAAGATAAGAGGAGGAGGAAACAATAAGGAGATAAGAAGATCAGAAGGGAGGAAATAAGGAGATAAGAAGACTAAGGAGAACGGAAATAAAGGAGATCAGAAGATCAAGGAAGAAGGAAATAAGGAGAATAAGAAGATAAGAAGGAAAGGAGGGAAAATATAAGGGACCACCCCCCACCCCCCCCCGCCCCCGTTACGTGTAAAGAGATAAGGAAGAAAGGAAAATAAGAGATAAGAAGATATGAAGGAAGTAGGGATAATAAAGGAGATAGAAGATAAGTATAAGAGGATAAGGAGAATAAGAAGATAAGTCGGGAAAAAAGGAGAAGAGATAAGGAAGAAGTGAAATTAAGGAGATAAGGAAGATAAGAAGGAAGAGAAATAAGGAGATAAGAAGATAGTAAGGGATGGAAATAAGGACGATAATAAAAAAGATAATCAGGAAGATAATAATGATAATAAGGAAGATAATAAGTAAGAAGGAAGATGAATATGAAGGAAGATAACAATGAATAAATAATAAAAGAAGGATAATACGAGCTAATAAGGAGATAAGGCAGGAGTCAGAAACAATGTTGCCGAATGGCGGTTAGCGAAGTTTATCCGCCGTTGAAAGAAATTGCGTGACTGCGTTTTTTATATAAGCTCTGTTGTAATGGGGAGGCGGGGAGTAACTCTCTTGGGCAATCGTTAAATTAAATGTTCTCTCGACAGTTTGGTGATGTGTACACACAGTGCAGTCAGCTGTACTCTAGTGAGCCTTTTACGAGCAACTCGTATGGTCGGTAAGACGCTCTTCATCGCTCGCAGTACTGGCTCAATAGCAGATGGCTCCCACACGCCTTGCTTCTCATTGCAAGTATGACAGCAGATTGAGCTGCGTAGTTCAGCAGTTGTGAGACAGCAGTGCTTCGGAGAAACATCAGTCTTACGTTAATTCCAACCATGCAAACATATACGCTTTCGATCCTTCAGTTTTCATTTTTATAGAGATGATGCCAACAAATGCCCAGCACGAAGCAATTAAACATAAATAAATATTATATGTAACGTGATCAGCCGACACAGAAACTAGCTTGATTTTTTCATGTAGGCGCCACAACAATTGATG